CTTGGGGGAGTTCGGTGCTTTGCGTCAGGCGAGAAGGGCATGGTTTTGCGAGTCAATGGGGAGGTCTGTCTAGTTCGTAGAGTGAGTCTAAAAATGGGTTGAGATCTGGGCTGGAACTATGTTTTCTCCTATGTTGGTGCAGAGTAAAGGTCCCCCCTTTCTTTAAGACGATCTCGGCCTGCTCCGCTCCATTAACGGCGGAGCTATTCTCGCGCCCACACCACACCTGGCTCCAACGTGGACACGCCCATAGCTGGGGACACTACTAGGTCACGCATGGCATCAGAAGTTTTATCTCTGGGCCCCGAAAGGCATCTCTAGCAGCGTCGTTACGCATGCTCCCTCCCCTCCTGGGCGCATGCGCCTCACATCTCGCCAGAGCACACACACACACACACACACACACACACACACACCGCACACACACACACACACACACACACACACACACACACACAGTCACACACACACACACACACACACACACACTGTAAGGTAAGGTAAGGTAAGGTAAACGTCTCCACACACACGAGGTGGGGGCAGAAGGTAAGAGATGGGTGAGGCCAGCTAGATAGTCGGTACCCGTGCGTCGGTAGTAGTCGGTACCCCCGAAGGAAAAAAATCAGTCAGCTTTTATCAAGAGATAGAAGTCGAGTCTCGCGGTGAGAACAATGTCAAAAACGATACTGGCGAGAGCCTCTTGCGCCTCGCAGCGATGCGAAAAACACGGCCCAGCTCACTCTCCCCCTCACGGCCGCAGCAGCGTCGTCCCGTGCCGATGCCGCCCCTCCTCCTCCGCCGCCCTCAGCTCGCGCGCCACCGCGGCGATGTGGTCGGGGCGGGTGCGGCAACAGCCCCCGATGAGGACCGCCCCGTCGGCCGCCCACTGCCTCGCCAGGCGGCCGAAGCGCTCCGCGCCGGCGGCGGCGCTCTCCGCGGAGGGCGCGCCGTCCGGACCGACCGCCACCCAGCCTACGAGCTGAATGCACCGCCATCGGGGAGGGAATGCGGTCTTAATCAGTGGACTCGAAGCACCGCGTGGAGAGGGGCTATGAATCGCGTGAGTGCAGCTGAATACGGCCGAATGCGGCCGAGTGCGTGTCCTCTCGAGCGCCAGTTAAACTACAAGCACGCCTCTTCCGCTTCTAGGCTCCATGCTGCCAGATAAGGGGGAGATACGGGGGAGATACGGGGGGATCTTCCGCTTCTAGGCCGCCCTGCCGTGCGCCCACTCGTCCCACACCTCGCCCGAGTTCGGGTACGCGACGAGCGGGCGGGGCGAGCGGGCGCGGATGGCGCGGAGGAGGGGGGAGGCGAGGAGCGGCGCCGCGCAGTTGACACCGATCGCCTCGACCTGGCCCGGAGGTGAGGAACGGTGAGCTTCCTTCTCCACACACACACCGAGGTGGTGGGGCGAGGGCCAGGCTGGGCCCTCGCGACTCCACGTCTAGACGACAGGAGCCGCACGGCAGTAATGGCGCACGGCCCGCGGGGCGTGTGTGGAGTGTGCGCGTGGGGCCCGTCCTCCGAGCTAAGAGGGTGTGTCACACTCTGACGGACCGACTGACTCACTGCCTGCACCTCCCCTTCTACGCCCCCCCCCCCCCCGACCCACGCTCTCCCGATCCGGCCCGCACCCCCCCCTTTTGGGTCAAACACTGACGGACCGACTGACTCACTGCCTGCACCTCCCCTTTTACGCCCCCCCCCCCCCCCCCCCTTCTACGTCGCCATCTCCACCTCCCCCTTCTACGCGCCCCATCACCACCACCGTCACCACCGCCCGTCATCCCCTGCTTTCCACCACTCCCTCCACCCCCTTCACCTGCCCCGAGATGTCGTACTGCTCGATCGCATCGACCGCGTCGGCGAGCTTTTCCCCAGACTGGAGCTCGGCGGCAGAGCGGCACCTGTTCACCGCCAGGACGTGTGAACAGGCGCCGTTCACACAGACCAGCCGCCCGCGCGGCGGCAGAGCGGCACGCGAGCGACAGCCAGGCGCGCGCCGCCGGCCGCGACTGCAGCAGCGTGCAAAGTGCCACAACCTCGGTGACGCAAGGGACCGTCTCGAAGGCGAGCACGTCGGCGCCCGCCTGTTCACGGCGGGGGGCTGTGAAGAGACGCCGTTCACAGCGCTCGCGCCGAGCACGTCGGCGCCCGCCGACAGCAGCACGTCTACTCTCCTGTCGTTCACGCCGCCAGGTGTGAATACTGGAGCAGACAGGTGTGAAGAGACGCCGTTCACAGCACTCGCCACGCGTGCCACGCCGCCAGCGCCGGCGCGCCAAGCCTGCGGGCGTACCGGCTCCTCTTCACACCTGTCTGCTCACGCCCGTCTATTCACGCCTGCGGCCTCCAGTATTCACACCTGCGTCCGTACCGGCCAGAGTACTCCGACTCGCCCTCGACGCTCGCGCCATACGGCCCTGCTCACAGCCGCAGGTGTGAAGAGACGCCGTTCACAGCACGGCGCGGCGCACAGCCGGTCGCGCGCTCCGATGGCGGCGGCGACGAGACCTTGTGGCAAGCGGCCGCCGCCTCCTCCTCCTCCGCCGCATATGCCGCCGCTCCCTTGCGACAGCCGGCGCAACGCGGCGCGTGTGCCGTCGCGCGCCAGCGTCACCGAACGCGCGACCAGCCTCGCCGCCGCGTCCTCGTCGATGTCGAGCAGCGCGACGAGCGCCTAAGGTAAGGTCAGGTACACTTCTCCACACACACGAGGTGGTGGGGCAAGGGCCAGGCTAGTCCCTCGCGTCTCCACGTCTGACGACAGGAGCCCCACGGCATTAAAAGTGCAAGGCCCAGTGCGCGTGGGTGAGCGGTGTGTGTGTGTGTGTGTGTGTGTGTGTGTGTGTGTGTGTGTGTGTGTGTGTGTGTGTGTGTGTGTGTGTGTGTGTGTGTGTGTGTGTGTGTGTGTGTGTGTGTGTGTGTGTGTGTGTGTGTGTGTGTGTGTGTGTGTGTGTGTGTGTGTGTGTGTGTGTGTGTGTGTGTGTGTGTGTGTGTGTGTGTGTGTGTGTGTCACGCCTCGCGCGAGCACTGCGACGTGGCCGTCATGACGACGTCGGCGCCCGCCTAATTAATTTACGAATTAACTCTTAATTCACTATGAATTAGTGGCCGTCATGACGACGTCGGCGCCCGCCTAATTAATTTACCAATTAACTCTTAATTCACTATGAATTAGTGGCCGTCATGACGACGTCGGCGCCCGCCTAATTAATTTACCAATCAACTCTTAATTCACTATGAATTAGTGGCCGTCATGACGACGTCGGCGCCCGCCGCCACGAAGTCCGCATGCGCCGACCGCAGCGCGTCGGGCGCCTAGAGAATTGACAATGCACAACTAGTTCGGTGGCACGTAAGTGACAATGTCGGGCAGCGTGGCGAGCGCCTAGTAGTTAAGAGCCGGCAGGTAGAACTCGCGGTCAATACCTGAGTAGCTAACCACGTCGGGCGCCTAATGGTCGGCCATCAACAATTGAGCGTACGAACGAGTGGACGATAACGAAGAGGTGAAGCGTCGGGCGTAGCGTCGGGCGCCTCGTGCAGCAGCCTCGCCGCCCAGAGTTGCCCGCTGACGTCCCTGCCGAGCAACTCGAGCCAAGTGCCCAAGCCGCCGTCGAGCACGAGCGGCCGCTCCTGTGCACGCCGTCGACCCGTGAGCAGGCGCCGTTCACACCGCCACCCGCCCCTCGAGCACGAGCGGCGTCTCCCTGGCAAGCGCAAAGACGCGCGAGAGGGGCGGCCGCCGGCCCGGGGCGGGACGGGTGGCGAGGCCGCGAGGCAGCGGGAGGGGCGAGGGGTGCTGCGAGCGGGGTGGCGGCGGCGGAGAGAGGCCGAGCGCGCTCGCGACGCTCTCGGGGAAGATGGACGCGATCCGGTCGAGCACGGGCGACGCGCCCGCCGCAGCGGCCTGCTCGGCGGCGTGAGCGGGGCGGGCGGCGAGGCGCGCCCGCTGCCAGGAGGAGAGGAGGAAGCGCTCCATCACCTCGACCGACTCGACGGCGGGGTGGGGGGGGGAGGCGTCGCCCGTGTGCAGGCCCGGGCCCCACGCCGCGGTCGCAAAGAGCGGAAACACGTGCGGCATGGCTTCGCCGACAAAGGGCGGCTCCACCGCCACGCCGGCGCCGCGGAGGGCGGCCTCGAGGCGGCGCTGCTGGTCGTAGAGCACCTGAGAAGACACACCACGGCAGGCGGTGTTTCTTTTCTCCCTCGAGGCGGCGCTGCTGGTCGTGCAACACTGCTGAGAAGAAAGCCGGAGCCTGTTCGGCCGAGATATCGCCGAGATGTGGCCGAGATATGGCCGAGATGTGGCCGAGATATGGCCGAGATGTGGCCGAGATGTGGCCGAGATATGGCCGAGATGCGCCTCCCCGCCGCCGAGGATCAGCATCGTGCGAGGGAGGCCGGCGAGGTGCTCCTACAGAGACAAAGCACGCGCCTCGCGAGAGAAGAAAGCTCGCAGTCGCGCGAGGGAGACCGGCGGGCGGCTCCTTGCCCGCTCGGCAGGGGCTCACTAGCGGATCGAGGTCGCTGACCAGCCGAGGCCGGTTCCACCTCTCTAGTGCCGCGGCAACCTAGGTAAGGTACGGTAAGGTAAGGTACGGTAAGGTGAGGTACGGAACCCCTCCACACACGAGGTGGTGGGGCAAAGACCAGGCTAGTCCCTCGCGTCTCCACGTCTAGACGACAGGAGCTAGCACGGCAACAAGAGTGCAAGGCCCAGTGCGCGTGGGTGAGCGGTGCGGCCACCTCGTCAGCGACAGCTCGCCGCCGCACCTCGTCCGACAGCGCGCCGCCGCCCTCGACGTCGCCGCCGCCGCCCGCCGCCCTGTGCAGCCCCTCCACGTCGGCTCGCACCCGGAAGACGGCTCTGGCGGCGGCCTGATCATCCATCACAGATGGCATAAGAACTGGTCGATACGAATGAAGAGTGAAGATCCCGCGGCCCTGGCGGCGGCCTAATCCAGAATTACGAACTCGTGGCGCCGATTTAATAACGGAGACTCGGCGGCTCTGGCGGCGGCCTTTGGCGTCGCGTCGAGCGGCTTCGGCGGCGCCGCGAGGTACTCGCGGACAAAGAAGGGGACCAAGTCGGTCTCTCCAAAGGGAGAGAGGTAGTCACTCTCGATGTTGCGCCACATCGACTCGTCCTCGCCCCGCGGCCCCGCCGCCGCGCTCAGGTCGCTCCACGGAGAGATGAGCAGCTGGCAGCACGGCGCGGGGCACCTGTTGCCAGCCCGCAGTGACTGACTAACCATCATCGCCAACCACCGTAGCGCGGCGCAAAGCACCTGTTGAACACCCGCAGGGATTGACTAGCCATCATCGACCAGAGGGCAGCTGGCAGCACAGCGGATAGGCACCTGTTGCCAACCCTCATTGACTGACTAACCATCATCGCCAACCACCGTAGCAGGCTGGCAGAGGGCGCGGGGCACCTGTTGAAAACCCGCAGTGACTGGCTAACCATCATCGACCAGAGGGGCAGCTGGCAGCGCGGCGCAGAGGCACCCCTCCGCCAGTGCGAGCCGGATCGCGCCCAGCGCAATGTTGCAGCCGGCCGAGTCGCCTGCGACAAGAATGGCGTTCATGGCGATGGGCTACGGCGGTGGGCTACGGCGGCGGGCTCGGTGGCGGCGGGCTCGGTGGCGGCGGGCTCGGTGGCGGGGGAGAAATGGGGGTGGCGGGTGGTGGGGGTGGTGATGGTGGTGGTGGTGGTGGCGAGAGTGGAAGAGGAGAACGGGGTTCCGGTGGCGAGATGCTGCAGCCGCATCGCCTGCGACGGCGACGTTGCCCGCGCCGTAGTGCTTGATCGCCTTCCGCAGAAGGGTCGACATGGCGACCACTAATTAATTAATTATTAACTAATTAATTAATTGATCGCCTTCCGCAGAAGGGTCGACATGGCAACCACGGGCGCCGGGAAGGTGGCCTACGGGAAGGAAAGGTCAGGTACACTTCTCCACACACACACACACGAGGTGGTGGGGCAAGGGGGGGCAGCCCTCGCAACTCCACGTCTAGACGGCAGGAGCCCCACGGCATTAAAGGTGCGCAAAGCCCAGTGCGCGTGGGTGAGCGGCGTGGGTGTGGAAGGTGGCCTGCGGCGGCCGCGAGTAGTTTGGCAGGAGCACCGTAGCGCCTGTCCGTCGCACAGACCTTGCTCGTTGATCAATCGGTTGGTTAATCAACAGCGTGAGGTAAGAAACTAGCGCCTGCCCGCAGCACGAGCCTCGTCAATTAACGAATTAACCAATCACCAGCCTCAACACCATTAAGTCACTATCCAGATAGCGCCTGTCCGCCGCACGAGCTCGTTGGTTGGTTGATTGATTAACGACCAGCCTCAACTAAGAAACTAGCCTCCACTAAGAAACTGGCGCCTGTCCGCCGCACGAGCCTCGTCAACTAACGAATTAACTAATCACCAAAGCCTCAACACCATTAAGTCACTATCCAGATAACTATCCAGATAGCGCCTGTCCGCCGCACGAGCTCATACCCAATCGTCATCGGGTACGTCTCCGCATTCGTAAGCATGAATGCGCCGCCTACGTGGGACGTGTCGTGGACACGTCGTGGGCACGTCCCGGACATGTGTGTCGCACGCACAGAGGCGCCGCCGTGGAAGAAGAGGATAAGCCTGCCATCATCAACGATTCATGAAGGATGAGGTTAGTGAGTCATTCTCAGCCACCACGGTGGAAAAAGAGGACGCGCCGGGGGTTGTCGGCGGGCAGCGGCGGCAGCGGCCCCTCCGGCGAGCAACAGCCGCAGCAGACCTCGCACAGCGGCCGCACCTCGCAGCTGACGGGCGGAGCGCCGTCCGGCTGCCGCGCCTGAGTAGCTGCCGAGCACTCATTGGTCCTCGCGTTTTCAGAGGAGGAGTGCCGACTAGGTGCCGCGCCGCTGCTTCCGGGAAGAGCCAAACGCCTGGTCCAATAAGATGAAGGTTAATTAAACAATCAATTTATGATATACAATCGAAGAGCCAGGCGCCGGCGTGCTGAATACACCGACATCGGGGCGGGAATACGGGTATTGTGCAGTGTACTGAGAGCACCGCGTGAATACGAGGGGCTGCGAATACAGTGAATACAGTTGGTTACGTGTCCTCTCGAGCGCTGGTTGGAAGACAATTACGTGTGTTCAGCTCCTAAAGCCAGGCGCCTCGCTCTTCAAAGAGTCCGTCGGTGGAGAGCGTGCCGACCACGTCCGCCGAGGCAGGCGCCCTCGACACGCCCTCGCCAAACAGGCACCCGAGCACCACCTGCAGCCACGGCTGCGCCGGCACGAGGTCGGTCACGGCCTGCATCGTCGCGGGGTCACGCGGCGCAGCAAAGGCGAGGGAACGAACCGACGCCACCACCGAGTCGAAGCGCTGCTCGGGCGAGCGGCACGGGTTTGCGCAGCACAGGTCCGGCCGGAAGTACCAGGCGATGTGACACCAGCCGCGTATGCGGCAGACCGTGGTGAGGCACTTTGCGTGCGGACAGCGGGAGACGGGTCCGCGCGAGAAGAACGTCTCCGGCGTGGAGCGTGCGACGCGGCGGTCGTCACGAGCGATGGCCTCGGGAGTCGGAGCGGCGAGGGCCATGTCGGCGGCGAGCTGTGGACCTCTCTCGAGGGGTCGGCGGCAGCGAGGCGGCGAGTCTGCCGCGAAATTTGGGGCAAAAAAAGAAAAACCTCCGCTCTCAAAAGAAAAAATGACGCACCTCAAAGCAGACGGCAATCCCTTTGGCGCCGTCGAAAAGACCGGCCCACCTGGCTTTGCTGCAAAAAAGAAAACCCGCCGCCGCCCACCTGCTGGCGCCGCCACGGCGCGACGCCCGGGGCGGAACGCGGGGTCGAGAAGACTCATGGCGAGGCTTCAAGGCAGCTCCAGAGCGAGCATCTTGACGCCAAGAAGCTCTCTGGCGACGAGCCGCGGCGGAGAGGCCCAGGCGAACGGGCCGATTCGGCGGCGCGTGGCGCGCAAGCACCCCACCCGCCCGCGGCCGCAGTGGCGTGGCTGGCGAGAACCGCCCTCAACAAGAATGACAATTCTACTTCCACAACGGCGGAATTAGCGCACCCCTACACGCACCTCAAGACTCCTACATGCCCCACTGACAACTTCTTGTTCGTTTATCAAAATCAATTCCACCAACAGCAAGCAGCCTTTCCACCCAGTGCAGACGAGGGAGCAGTCGTCGGTGCCGCTCTACCCTCGAGCTCTACCGCTTGCTCAAGAGGTCGCACTGCCGCTCGAGCTAGTCCAACGCGGTTGTTCAGCCAGCTTTGTGTCCCCGTCGGCTCGCGTGTGTGAGGACCTCCACAGTGAGGACCTCGCATCATTCTGGTGAGGACCTCAATCTAATCTCAACACTGTCGGTCACAATGAATAAGAGAGAAAGGGGACTTATCAAAATGGGGTGAATAATCAAATCAAAAATGGACTCCAAGACGCAGGCTGAAACGCAGCGCTTGCACTAGAAAAACCAACACCCTTTCCTATCCATGGCTATGTTAACTCGACTGCTTTCGTATTTCTGTGCAGGTTGGAGGACGCGCAAGGGCTGCGTGCGCTGGCCCTGGCAGCCGTGAGCACACACGACACGAGTCTTTAGGGCACGTCGCTGCCTCTGTGCGCCGTGAAGCAGGACAGGCGTATGCTGTGTGATGTCTAGAGATGACCTACATTGGTGAGGACCTCCGATTGAGGACCTCACATCATCTGGTGAGGACCTCCCCGGAGGACCTCTCTCCATTCAAAGTGCGGACTCTGCCTTGCTGCCTCGTCTCTCGCACTCGCGGCGTGCCGCTCCATGTAGGAGAGCAGGGCAGTGCCGTCCTTCCTCTGATCGGAGAGGTGTATTGCTCACCAGCAGTCTCATATCCGGCGGCGCGGCAACGAAGAGGCACTGCGAATCGGCGTCGTAGGCCACGCACGATGGCGAGTCGCTCCAAAATGGCGGGTAGCGCGGCTCGGACGCCTCGAAGGAGCGATCCCAATCGTAGGGGAGGGCGGGCACGTCTCTAATGTGAGGGTCCATTCCGGACATGCCGATGCGCATAACCTCGTCGCCGCCAGCGGTGAAAACCTTGACAGTGTCTCCCACAGCGACGGCGTAGCGAGCCTCCGCCGCGCTCGGCGCGAGCGCATCGCTCCAAGGCGAGGCGTTCCACGGCGGGCCAAGCAGGTCCGCATGCACGGGCGCATCTTCCTCAGACGTCTTCATGCTCGGTGGCAGCGGCGTGACTGATGAAGGCGTCCAAAGCTCGCCTGGGCCCATGCCGATGGCTTCCGTCTCGCTGCGTGCATGCGCGCGGCCGACGGCACGCTCAAAGCGGAGCGGCAGGCGCGCGCGGCACGCGGGCGGGTACGAGCTGAGACGCGCGGCCACGCCGTCGCGCCACGCCGTGCAGACGGCCGGGCACCCATGCATCAACTGCATGAACGACAGGCGCGAAAGGCACTCTCCGAGCACGTCGGCCGACAGCAGCGTATTGGAGACCACTTCGGGGGGGGGCGTCTCCGAGCGCCTTGAGGTTGATGCGCCGGATGAGCAGCACCTTTTGGAGGGCGCAGTGCACCTCGAACCGCTCCTTGTCGGGGTGATACTCCCCGAGCCACGCAGTGGCGCCGTTGAGGTCCTCGCGTGTGGACAGCCCGGTGATGCGAGCAAAGCTGCCCGTGCGCACAGCGGCTGCTTCGGCGGCGGCAGCTTCGGCGGCGGCTGCCTCGGCGGCCTGCGTGTCGGCGGCGGCTGCTGAGGCAAGTGAGACCATTGATGGCTGGAGAAACGCCGTCCAAGGTCGGAATAAAAGAAAGTGATTTCTCGCTATCGCGGTAAAGAAAACTGCACGCCGTAAGTACGGAAACGTCCTGTAGCCCTCTACGGGTAACGCCCTGCTTGTAACACTCTATTCTCACCGCCTGCGCGCGAGCACGTGCACGTCCGCCACATCGTGGCACGCTCATGGCTCGGCGGGCGGGAAGCCACGCCGCCCCGCCTGGTCGATGCGCTGGGCCTCCCTCAGCCCGGAGAGGTACGCGCCCGTCGCCGTCGCCGGGTGCTGCCCGTTGGTCGCCTCGCCTACGCGTCTCGGACGGCGCCTCGGGTGGAGCTCGGCTCGATCTCGGCTCAATCTCGGCCAGGGCCCGTTGGCCCCGCCCCTCGCCCGCAAAGAGACCGCAACAAAGAGCCGCCGGCCGGCTCCCTCTCTCGGCACATCTCTCGGCGAGATCCCGCCCGCAACGAAGCGCCGCCCCGCGCGGCGCGCGCGCTCTCTCTCTCTCTCTCGGCATCTCTCGGCTATCCCCCGCCCGCGAAGAAGAGCCGCCCGCCGACCGGCCGCGCGAGCTCGTCGTACTCGGCGCCGGACGCGTCCACGCCGACGTACGAGTACGAGCCGCGGCAGAAGGGGTTGCGCCCCCAGTCCGTCACGACCGACTTCCGGAAGAGCTGCCGCACCTGCGGGGATCGGCGGAGATCGGCGGGGATCGGCGGAGATCGGCGGAGATCGGCGGAGATCGGCGGAGATCGGCGGAGATCGGCGGAGACTGGCGGCGATCGGCGGAGATTGGCGGAGATGGGCGGAGATTAGTTGCGGCGGGTGCTGCGCCTGAGGCCCAAACGTGCGCCCGAGCACGGCCAGCGACGCGTCGACGACGCGCCTATCAATGAATCAATTCATGAATCACGTACTAATTTCAGCACGGCCAGCGACGAGTCGACGACGCGCCTATCAATGAATCAATTCATGAATCAGGTATGAATTAAGCACGGCCAGCGACGAGCCGACGACGCGCCTATCAATGAATCAATTCATGAATCACGTACTAATTTCAGCACGGCCAGCGACGAGCCGACGACGCGCTTGTACGAGAGGTGCCGCCACGTCCCTTCGGCGAAGGCGCCCGACGAGACGCACATGAGCGCCGCGGTGCCGTGCGAGCGCTGCAGGTTCCAAAACATGAAGAACTCGCCGCGCGCCTTTGCCGCCTCGGCGGCGGTCTCCGCCGCGGGCGGCAGGCAGCCGAAGAAGTCCGCTCCCTCGTCCCAGAAGGGGCGCTCGAAGGAGAGGATCACCTGTCCCCGTGGCAAGTCTAATGAGTGGTGACCCTTAATTAATTCATTCACTTTCGTAACCGCTCGAAGGAGAGGATCACCTGTCCCCATGAGATTGAAATGAGTGGTGGTGCCTGACTAATTAACTATATTTCTAATCGCTCGAGAGGGAGGGCCACCTTCTCGATCGGTGCCGAACTAGTGACTCGCATTTAAGTCACTCATTTTTTTGAACGGCTCGAGGGAGAGGGCCACCTTTTCGATCGGCCCGAACCCAAGCCGCTCAATGGCCGACCGCTTCCAGCGCGGCAGCGGCGGGGCAAACTTGACCGTCTTGGCCTTGAGCACGCCCAGCGGGACCGAGTTAATTAATTAGCAATGAGTAATCAGTCATTACTGAATTAGGTCTTGGCCTTGAGCACGCCCAGCGGGACCGAGTTAATTAATTAGCAATGAGTAATCAGTCATTACTGAATTAGGTCTTGGCCTTGAGCACGCCCAGCGGGACCGTGACCAGCACGGCGTCGGCGACCAAGCCCTCGCCGCCCGCCTTGGTGTGCACGCGCGCGCCCCAGTCGCCGTGCTCGACCAGAGACACCTGTCAACAAGTTCATGCGTTGATAGTTACTGTCTCATTAGTGCGCAGTGGTCGCCGAACTCGACCAGAGACACCTAACAAGTCCATGCGTAAATAGTTACTCTCTCATTGTGCGCCCCAATCACGCTCGACCAGAGACACCTCGCGCTGCAGCAGCACCTCGGAGTACGCGGCCAGCCCCTCCACCACACGCCCGAACCTGTTCGTTGATTGACTAATTAACAAGAACAACTCCTATGCCAGCCCGTCCCACCATGCCGCCGAACCTATTCGTTGGTCGACCAGTTAACAACAACAATTCACGTCCCAACCCGTCCCACCATGCGGCCGAACCCGTCGCTGACGACGGCGTGGTCGCCGGTGAGGGTATGCTCGTCGTCCTGCAACAAGCCATTAATTAATTAGGACCTAACTAATTAATTAATTAGGCGAGGGTATGCTCGTCGTCCTGCAACAAGCCATTCAGAACTAAGAACCAGCTCGTGTGTCGCGGGCCGGGGTGTGCTCGTCGTCCTGCAACAAGCCATTCAGAACTAAGAACCAGCTCGTGTGTCGCGGGGTGTGCTCGTCGTCCTGGTCCCACCCCGCACGGGAGACGTGAACTAGGTGGCTACTGCTTGCCAGCGGGGCGAATTCGATTAATTGGTTTGCCTGGTCCCACCACGCTAGAGAGACGTTGCCGAGCGACGCGGCGCAGCCGTACTCGAGGTTCGCCAGATGCCACTGCACCGCCCGCGCCTGAGAATTGAACATGAGGTACTCAGTACAAGTGCTCGAGGCTCACCAGATGCCACTGCACCGCCCGCGCCTCCTCGGGCGACGCATCCGACGCCGCGACGAGCCCCTCGAGCACCTCGCCGAGGAGGGCGTTCATAATCAATAATAATGACTAATGACTAACTAGTGCCGAGGGAGGCGCTCATCAAAATCAATAATAATGACTAATGACTAAGTAGTGCCGAGGGAGGCGCAAAAAGTTAATCATGACTAATGACTAACCAGTGCCGAGGGAGGCGCAAAAAGTTAATCATGACTAATGACGAATGAGTGATTAATCACGCGTCCCTCGAGCACCTAGCCGAGGGAGGCGCTCGCAATCAATAACGACTGCCATCTTGATGACTAATTAGCGCCGAGGGAGGCGCTCATCATCAATAATGACTCATGACTAATGACTAACTAGTGCCGAGGGAGGCGCTCATAATCAATAATGACTAATGACTAACGAGTGATTCATTACGACCACCTCGCCGAGGGAGGCGCTCATAATCAATAATGACTAATGACTAACGAGTGATTCATTACGACCACCTCGCCGAGAGAGGCGCTCATAATCAATATTAATGACTAATGACTAATGAGTGATTCATTACGACCACCTCGCCGAGGGAGGCGCCGCGGCCGGGAACCTCATCCGCCGGCCTCGCCACCGCCGCCGCCGCGGCTGGGCACGGCTTGTCGGGCGTGTCGGCGAGGCCGAGCAACCGGTCGATCTCGTCGTTGGGCAGCTCCTAACTAATCAATTCATTCATTCAGTCGTTCATTCATTAATAGCAGCCGGTCGATCCCGTCGTCGGGCAGCTCCTGCGGCACGTCGCACGACGGCTGATCACGAACTGATGGTTAGTTCTCCCTCACTAGTCAGCATCGAAGCTCCTGCGGCACGTCGCACGACGCGTAGCGCGCGTCGCCGTTCTCGGCGCACGTCCACCTGTCTCATTAGTCATTATTAATTACTCATTCATCACTCATTAGTCAATCCCGGCTCAAGCCCACCGATCGGGGACAGCGGAGCTCTTCGCCAGCCCGACGCGCCGCCACTTGTCGCACAAATCGCACGCCAGCCACGTGATGCGCGCCCGCTCCCCCTTCTCGCCCTTGCCGGTAAGCTCGCCCTTCAAGCAAGGGTGGCCCCCCTTCGAGTGCGGCGGCAGCGGCGGCTGCAGCGCCGCCGCCGGCAACGCCGTTGGCGGCGAGAGCGGCGGCTGCGGCGAGAGCGGGGCCGGCATGCACGCCCCGCTCTCGGACGCCGACGGCGAGGGTGGCAGCGACGGCGGCGGTGGGGCGGCGGGCTCACCGGGGGCGGCGGCGCTGCCGCGGGCGGGGGCGGGGCTCTGGGCGGCGTAGACAGCCTCCTGCGAACTGAACAGGCGCAGCTCCGCCTCGCCACCCGCCGCCTCGCCCCCGGCCGCGTCGCCATCTGCCGCCTCG